GTGTGTGTGTGCGTGTGTGAGAGTGAGTGAGGGTCCATGTTTTGGGGAAATATGTTCCGCATAGATGTACAGTTTTCAATGCTTTAACTTAGCAAATGTACATTCACACATCAAGAGAATGATCCCCGAGCCATGAAGCCATCGAGACCCAATCCTGTCCATCCAATCTCTCTTCCAGCTGCTAGCCAATCAGAAGAGCCAGCAGTAGAAGTTGCAAAGAAGACTGACCCACATGTAACCAGACAGAAAGGCGAGTGACTGTATGACAAGGAGCCACACGATGTCGAGCGTCATCTCCCTGGGGTTAGCCTGCTGTTGGCCTTTTGGTGGTGGGAAAGCACCTAGGGGAGAAAGGAAGAGACTGTCACTGGCAACTCACACACACACACACACATCATGGTATCATCCTGCTTTCTTGGATGAAACCCTTGGAAGAGCCCTACACATACATATTTATTATAGACTCCTGGTTTATGCAGACTAATAAGTTCAAGGAGATTGAAAAGTTGCTAAATCTGCTCGTCTCATCGCACCTCAGTGTGATATCATCACCTTTCCTGCAGGATTTAAACAGGCCCGCACACCCATGCAGAATTGCAAACAGATGGCACAGTGAGCCCCTTCGCCCCCCCCCCAGAATCTCCTACTCTCCTTCTACGTAAAGCAGCAGCGAGACAGCAAGAGAAAGATGAGGGCGACAGACCTGTTTGATAGAAGTGGGCCAGGAGATGCTCCTTCTCCACAAACCTCTGGTACAGCCAGTCCGTCAGCTGCTCCGTCTCTACTGGGACGTCTTTGACGGGGTAGATCCTGCAGCAGAAATCGTAACAGCATGCATCAGGTGTCATAACATCCACAAACTGTTCTGACTGGGCATTTTGGGACAAAAAGACGACTGACAGGATGGCATATATTAAGCAATGGCGGAATAAGGAATTTGTGAGTATTAGCAAATGAAATGCACGTCTGGGTCAGCATGGCGTGCTACTCCTGAGCCCTACACCCACAGCTGTTGCCTTCGGTCATGTGACAACATGAACTAGCATGGCTACTTTTCCCACAGCCTGAGAGTGTCCGTTAACCAGCAGATGTCCCCAACATACAGCAATACGCACATAACCGTCAACGTGAAAGTGTGCAGGACTACTCTCCTGCTAAGGGAACCTTCTCTCCATAAAACATAGCTGAGTGAAAAATTAAGACGTGAAATTTTTTTAAAACACATGAGCGTTTCTATGAACAGCGTAACAGAGTAAGATATTGGAGGAGGATCACTGACTGGCCCAGTGGGATCTCCACAATGAAGGACCAGCTGGGGATGAGCTAGCCAGACAGCTCTGCTGTCCCCCTACAGAGGTGAGTGTGGGTAACCTAAGCAGCACAGGTTACATCAGCCAACTGGAGCAGGGCTCTTTGATCCCTTGATGCCAGTAATTGAGGTACAGTTAACGTCAGCGGTCTGAGGCTTCTGCACGTCTCCAAGGTTCAAAGAATGACAGATGAGCTTGGCCAGGCACCCATAGCCACTCAGGGCACGATGAGCCCTGGGTAACTGACTCGCATCAAAGCGGACGAGGCGCTTTCTCGACATCTGGCCTAACAAGCACTTCATTAGATTACATATACATTTAGTCATGCTTATGCTAATGTCCCTTGAGTTAAGCAGGCAGCATTAGCAGCAGCATTTAAGGAAAATCACTACTAACCTAATACTTTCACCCTAATAAGTCATTCCAAAATGAAGTCAAGTAATCATATTGGTTGCGTGTAATACCTATGTGTCAGACATGTGCTCCCATTCAGCGGCACCACCCCAACTTAGACTATATTCAGTAGCTATGACAGGGCACTTCATAAATGGCATCACCAGGCACTGTCATAACTGAATGCACAGTTTAATAACAGTAACTAAAAGTTTGCGATGATTCAGGTCCAAATTTGGAACGCAAGAAGCTGTAGAGATGGTCCTGTCAGCACTATCGCTGATGGCTCCATCACACCTGGGTCAGGGAGCCCCTGCTGCAGCGCCATGGCAACAGGAAAGCATGTGAGCGTTCGCACGTGCCTCAGACGAGGGTCAGAAAGCCCACGCTGGCAGGGAATTCAGTAGCTACAAGGTGTGGCTCTGCCAGTTAGCAAGGCCTTTCACTCCACAACCTGCTCCAGGGGTACCAGAGAAGTGAATGATGCTCCACTTTGACCCAAGTTTCAAATATCTCCTGCACAAAAACATTAAAGGCCTGATATTCCATCAAAGTTCTAGCTTCACTCTAAACATTTTTATAGGCAGACACGGGAATCATGCCCACAGGTAGCCACATAGCACAGAATCCATCTCTAGCACATCTCCGACGACCAGGCTGAGCCTCACTGGCAGCAGGGAGGCCAGGGGAAAGTGCAGGTCACACCGGCTCCTCTGCGTTTCAGCCATAACCCAGCAGTGCAGTGGTTCTTCCTGTCCGAATCCATTACAAAGACATACTGACTTGTTTGGCCTCAGTGGAGGTGAAAAAAAATCCCCCAGTTGTACAGGACATGCAAAGGTGATGGTGGTGGTTAATTTTCCTTTCCAACAAATAGTTTCCTTATTTTTGAGATTGAGAATTCACACTGAACTTGATCCATTTCTTCAACACAACTGTGTAAAAAAGGATCAGTATCTTGCCTATATTCACTACATATTCTACACGGCTCTGTTGTGCCAAACAGACACCATTAAAGGACTTTCATACATAAGACACAGTGCGCTGTTAAAGTATACAGTGGCCAAAGACTTCATCTACGCCCCAAAGGGAAGTTGCCTTAGCTGTCTCTGTGGTAACAGCATAAACACACACACTCTAATCACAACATTACCCCTGCCCCTCTGAACTGTAAGCGCATGACGATAGTGTGAGACACTGGCTGTAAACAACAAAAAGACTTTAAATGTTACTCCTTCTCCACAGGCACACTCAGCTTATCTATCATTTATCTGACAGATGTGCGTAGCCCAACTGAGGACAGGTCAGATCCTGCTTGTTTCCCAGAAAGTGGAGGGGAAAATAATCAGGAAAGGAAAACATCAGAAGTAGAGGCTGCCAGGCCACGCAGAAGAATTTTGGCTTTAGGTCCAAGACTTGCAGATGACAGGGATGAGCTTCAATCTGAAATACAGTGGTACCTCGGTTCTCGAACTCACTAGAACTCGAATTTCTTGAAAGTCGAACAAACCAGTTTGACCTAGAACTCGATCTGAATATCAGAAGTAGAACCGTGAACGCTGACCTAATATAAATTGTATGCGCCAGGAAATGAGTCATACTACAATGAAATTCTTACTTGAATGCCTTCTTCACAGACTGGACGATTAACCAAATAAAGCAGCGCAACATTAAAGTAACTAACAATAAATAAACCACTAACTTACGTGTACTATTAGAGCATTTATGTCATTTATTTAAACTTTATTTTACCAGGTAAATTAACTGAAAACCAGTTCTCACTGCTTTACGTCATATTCAGGAGAAATAGCAGATTACGCATCGGAACTGCCTGGGATACAAATGTCATACGTGTAACTAAACTCTTCAGCCAATAAGGGCAAAGGTGTGTCGTCACGGAGGCGGTTCCAGTTTGTGCAGCCGGGTGAGAGGTCGCAATGCACCTAACCGTAATGCATTGCGTCTGGATCAGAATGCATTGCTTTAAGCCAGCGCTGTAAGCAAGTCGAAAGCACCCAATGACCGGACTGGGGAAACAAACTGAAACGCGAACTTAATACAGAGGACTAATGACAACAACCAGAAAACAGCTGATCACATGGGGATCCCACACGATGTTAACGAGGGGGCGTGGCACACGGAAGGAGCGGACGATCGGGGCAGGACAGGGGTAATGTTGGGTTAAGATCTTTATCGTTTTGGAAGCCATTAAGAAAAAGATGCTCTTCTTGTTTTATCCTGTTCATTTTGTGTTTAAATGCTAAAAAAAAACAACAAAAAACACCTATTTAGGTGTAATTTTGGGGGGCTGGGAACCCATTATTTCTTATGGGAAAAATTTGATCGGAACTCAAACTTTTTAGGATTTGATCCGGAGTCCGGAACGGATTAAGTTCGAGAACCGAGGTACCACTGTATATCACACTGTTAAGAAGTGCCCAGTGGTTCACCAAGAAAAGAACAAAAATAATCAGGTCAATAACAACTTGATAATGATTTATGAACAGGGTAAAGGGACCAGATTCTGCTCTGCGAAACCCAAAGGTGGGAGAGACTGAGCCCCCGGACACATCATGCCCAGTAAACTTTGAATCCATCCAGACTCTCAAAATGCTCAATTATGAGCTCAGACGCAGTTCATAGCTGAGAGACGATGGCTGTGAGATATTTCACAATACAGCCCTCCATTTCACTCTGTTCCAATTATAAGCATCTATAGATAAGACCTTTCCCACCTATTATCCTTTATTTCAAGGACACTCAGTTCCTGCCTCATCCCACCGAGACTGAAAGTAGAGCGAGGCTGGAGAGAATGCTGGGCAGGAGTTACACCAGCAGCCAAGTAGCTGAAGTGCATCCCGGGCCTGTGACTGGGGGGGGGGGGTAGGGGGGCTTCCCTCACCCCAAAAAGGTCGCCTCTCACAGCGCCTACCGCAGGTGGCTTCGTACATCAATTTGCAGTGTCAAGGCTCACATGCCAAGCACTGCAGAGCCTCTCTGTCGCGTTTGTCTGAGGAGATTAAGTCAGCCGCTGGCTCTGAATGGCGACTGAGGGCACCCCGTCCACAGCACACCACAAGTGATGCATGCAGAGTAGGTCTCACGCACACACTTGGGGGGGGGGGCGCGGCAGACAGCAGTGTGTAATAGCCGGGGCGTGTCACCCATCACGCCGTAGTGCCACAGACCCAAACACGTGGGCCAGCACCTACTTTACATACATTCTGACTGCACATAAGGCCTCTTTCTTTCATGTCAGGCAAATACATCAGCATATGAATAATGCCGGCCAGCTGGAGGACCCAGACTGACACAGAACACAGCTCAACATTTATCTAGCGGTTCCCACTTAGACTATGCATTGTTGGAGGATCTCAAGGTCTCCAAGCGACAAGGCTGCCCTTCCGGTCTGACGCAGAAATTTACCCTTTGCGATTATATGCACCTGGTGATCGAAAGGCCGTCGACCTGAAGCCTAAGCCTATCATACGATCTGCAGCCCATGACACGGCGAATCGGATTCTGCAGGCAGGCTGTAGAAATGTCAGCAGCTAGAGAAGATGCTGAACACCTCTTCCCTGAAATGTCATGACGGTGACTTCAGATGCTGAATTAACAATGAGCTTTATGCCTTCTCGCCTCTGTGAGTCCCGAAAGTGATGGCGCTGCATTCCGCTCGGACACGTGCGAGACAGGTGTGGGGTAAACGGCACGATCCTGATGACCAGGCAGCCCAGAGCCATTCATCAAGTCGCCTTTCGCACAGCTGTACAGAAAGAGATGCTCACAGGTGCAAAAACACAGAAACAGAACGAGGAGGCGAAGCCACTTAGCATCCGAGCCACTTCCCACCTGGCTGAACATCTGGGATATTCATGTCATGGAGGAATGGGGAAAAGCAGACCGGGATTTTATCATTGCTCGCCTGGTATTCACACAGCTCCCGTTCAAAACGCAGGTTCCTTTATAACCCGACAGAGCAGGAGGTAAAAATAAAAACCAGCTCTGTATCAGTTTAGATTCCCAAGTGGCATCTTTTTCAGGGCACACAAAATAACTTGTCACATACCTGCGTTAATTCACAACAGGAAGGGTAACTTGCTCCCTCTGTTCAGTGTGCGTGAACACACTCACCCACACCATGAACAGCACAAAACGAATCTGACAGTGGAAAGTTTTAAATTAAGGAAACCACAAGGCAAAGCAGCAGTATGTGGTCATTGAGACCATTCAGCTCTCAGCTGGCAGGTAGCGCCCACATTAAGGCAAAGAGCTCGAAGTCAGAACTGCATCTTCACCAATAGCAGCACTCATCCACGAAATAAGACAATTGCTACACAATCCCTAGAAAAAGTTATCATTCCTTCCACAAGAGGGAGCAAAAGCAAAATAAGTTGAGAGAGTGGCATGATGGCATGCCTGCATAATATTCATGCAGCCTCTTCACAGGAGGCTGCCAGAGCCACGGCGCCTTGCCCCAGCTGAGAATCCAGAGAGGAGAATCCAGGTGGGACCCAGACAGCTCACCGTCGCTAAGTTCATTACTAGCCAGGTGAGTCTTTAGCCTGAATCTAAAAGGAACCCGGAAGCCACAAGCGAGTTCACTGGGCAGGACAAGGTGTCACAAAACAACATAAGCTACAGACATGAAGGGAGGCCACAATGTCTCAGGGCGATTCAGAGGAAAGCAGACAAGGAAAAGCCTGAGGGAACAAACCCAGATTGCCTCAAGGTCAAGGGGAGTATGGCGCACTCTGAAGGGAAGCTGCAATTACACTTAAGGCACAGTGAGAGACAGTCATTTAAGACTATTACAAACAGAGGGTTTTAGTGAGGCCTCTGCTGTCTGTGAACTCTTCAGCCGTCTGCGCCATTAACTAGACCACCGCTTACAGAAAATGACACAAAAATAATCAAAAGTTTTTAAAAGTGAAGTGCATTTCACTCGCAACAAAAATAACCAAAAAGTGTGAGCATGTAAACAAGAACCCCAGCTACAAGCAGAAGCTGCCATCTGAATATTGCAGTGTTTAAAGGTAAAGGTTTCACATAATTAGTGCAGAAAATTCATCCGGGATAAATTCACCAGTCCATAAAACAACATGGCAAACCTCTAAAATTTATTTCCAAAGGCATGAAGTTGAACCAGGAGACATACATGTGTTACGGTGCTGGCATTGTGACCAATATCCATCACAGACAGTCCAGCAGTCAAGGGCGGGTTAATTCAATGCATTCTATTGCTATTAACTGGGCTATCAAATTAAAATGGTGTCAACTATAATTAGCTAGTCATTAAAGCAAAGAGTACATGACTATCATAGCATAGCATCCACATTCCTAGAGGTCCCCCCCCCTCTTTTTTAAGCTCATCCTCTTGGGAAATCTCATCTGATATTACACATTTACTAAGAATAGTGAAGCCAGCACTTCATTTTTTATTTATTTATTTTTAACAAGACTGATGGCAGAATTGACAAACCTTCACCATCCAGGTACCTGCTGTATACACAGAGGACTTGTTCATGAGCTGTTCTTACCTGTAATGCACATGCGTGACTGTGGGAGGCCTGTACCCAAAGATCCAGCTCTGGATGTCCATGGGACGGGCTTTGGGATAGGCAATGGTAACATCAACCACCCACTGCAGGCCCCTCCGTTTGGTTTCTGTGAACAGACACAGGGCCTCTGTGAGTAAACTGGCACGACATGCACAGGCTGAAGATTACAGTCCAAAAAGGCCAGCGAAGAAACAACGTAAAATTAGAATCACTCACACCTGTCTGAGCTGAATAGCCTATTATGGAATATTCCTCTGAAAAAACATACTACACCATTTTAAAACAAATTCAATTACTGCATTATGACTCAATATGTTGATAGTGCAAAATGATACTTTGCCGCAGAAAAACTGAATCCATAACTGTTCCATTAATTCTCGGATTAATGTGTTACCTCTTAGTCCAGACCACATTGAGACCATCCTGCCTTTGATCATGCAAACATGCTCGTCAGGAGAGGTTTTTTTATTCCATTACCAAAACTCAGAAGCAGCACTCATGTGCCTCATAACATGCCCTTTGAAGTCTCAGGGGGAAGAAGTAAATTAAATTGCCGGCTCACACAAAGGACACTTTTTTTCATTAGAAGCAGGACATAAACTAAGACAGTAGCATCTACGCCCATATTCAGACACTAAGGGCTTGGGATTCCTGAGTCAGTCAAGATAACACCAAGTCAGAGGCTGCCCTTTCATCAAAGCATCTATAGCTCTACAAATAAAAAGCCTGATTAATGCAGGGCATCACTTTCCACAAGGTCCCAAATTTAAAAACACTAATGAAGCAGTGTAGGCGGGTAAGGAGAGGTGCCACGCAAAAAGACAGAATTAAGCTAAATGGTGATGAATGGGAAAGAAGAGAGAAATTTCAGCGATTCTTAACTGCAGAGGCAGCTTCCTGGCCAAGCAGTATATATAGTGTCAGTCCCCAAGGGCCAAATAACATCACCAATTAATCACCAGAGGGATTCAACAGACCTCAAAGTCATTTAAGCAACTTTGGAACATAAACACACCTTTCACATTTCCGTTTTAAAGCAGTTCCTAAAATGATTTAATAATATTGGCAATGCTGATATTGCTGAGAGAGACAGAAGGAACATTTTGATAAAAGCTCATGCAAATAGCTATGGACGGGAGCTGCAAAAGCTTTAAAATTTAAACCTTCAATAATGTGAGTGCACACATGAGTTCATCAGGTTACTTAGTGGAGGTAAATAACTCATTAAAACCAAACTGCTGTGATTCTGGGACTCTGTCCAGTAAAATTACAGATGATGACATGCTGTGATTTTTGTATTCAGCATGACCAGATGTCATGATTACTGCTATGGACAGACACAGACCCCAAATTCAGCTTGGAAATTGGATGAATGGCATCAGGAACCTCAGTCAGTGTGTTTGGCGGACAGAATTCTCATCTTGGTCTTGATTAATCAATCTATTTACTGCCTAAACCAGGGGTTCCCAAACTGTTTCACCTAGGGAACCAAAAGTGAAATGTCGCCGTCTTGGGACCCAAACCAAAAATCTGTAATGAACCACCATTACATATCAACACTATAAAAAAAAACCCCACAAAGAACCAAAATGTATGAAAACAATATTTATTCTTCAACTTCATGTTCTCTTCTTAATTGAATTTTAAATTTCTACTACCGTTCATAACAATTAATGGACCCCTCTACAAACCCCCCCCCCACCCCCCTTATCGAACCCAGTACTGTATGTGTGTATATACATTCAGTGAAATGTCACTGAACTCTAATTGCCACTGACATTAGCACTTGGAAACACATACATACAATCAATGCACCCTTAAGACTAATTTAACCCTGAACTTCCAATGTCATTCTCTCGAAGTTCTGCTCTTAACTGGGAAAATTCATTTGCCTTGTCCTTAAGCTGAGTGTGCTTTGTTTGATGGTGCCAATGCAACTGAAATATCAGGGCTGTGGAGTCGGAGTCGGAGACAATTTTGGGTACCTGGAGTCGGAGTCGGCAAAAAGTTAACCGACTCCGACTCCTACTAAATTTAAATGGGAATTAAAAAAGTAAGTTGAAATGTCCCAATTCACAAACAGTCATAATGAACTACTTCTCTGCTGTAAGAATAAAGCCCAATGCATGCAGTGCATAATGTTACCACAAAACGAACATGTCAAGTAACCATGAAGCATGCTTTTCATTGACTGTATGCGTCACTATATGGGATGTAATGCACAGGTAAGGTGCGGCACCGCTTTCCATTGTGTCGTGTTCCACTGTTACAGGGAACTGTGAACCTAGCCTAAAGCCCCCCATACATTTACAGATGCACTGCCGATTTTTCGGCCATTCAACGAATCATCACGCGTCAAACGCCTGAAAAATCATCTGGTGTGTTCTCAGCTCCGTCGGCTCCCCTTCGCTATGCGCTACCCTTGAAACCTTGTTTTCATTGTGTTTGTCTTTAATCTGGCATTATAGTAGAGTGTTGGCTTCCTAGCCAGTAGTTCTGTGGTGAAATGACATGTATGTTGCCTTCCTTTCCTTCAATGGATGTAGAAAATACATTAGCATAGTATATACACATACAGAGGAGTCGGGGAGTCGGGGCGTCGGAGTCGGAAGATTTATCTACCGACTCCACAGCCCTGTGAAATATATCCTTTATATTCACATTTGGACATTTTGACGACTACTAAACCTTAGTTATTCTGACAATGGCTGACTGTATATACAGACTACTGAATTAAAACGACTACTAGAAACGGACTGCTCTGATAGGATATAAAAGTACGCAATATGATGAAGTTTCAACTTGACAATAGCATAGTGGCCAATCATTGACAAGTGGTATTCACAGCATCCACTGCAGAGGCTCATAGTTTGACATGTGTGCAGGAAGACTCACCACACTGCGTACGCCACCATATTATAAATTATGCTTTTCAGGATTAATCGGCGACCCATAGTTTGAGAACCCCTGATCTACATCAACAATTTAGAACAGGCACTTCCATACCCATGGCATGTCAGTTCACTACAGGAAACATACACATACACACAAAAAGTTAGTTATACACTGCAGCAGTGGTCACTGACTTCTCTGCATCAGGACCGAAACAGTATTGAACCCAGAAGAGATGAGCACCACGATACTCTCCGGACCTCATTCCATCCGGGGACCTCCCCTCCATTAGGCCTATTCCTCAGAAACAGTGGACCTTGGCTTTGTGTCACTGATGGAATTTGGCCCTGGGGGGAAAAAACAGTTGTTGATGCCTGGCAGCAGTTAGTCTAAAGACACACTGTTGCGCCGAGTACCCAGAGGAACCCTGCACTTTGTGGAGAGAACATGCAAAGCACACAGGGCAGAAGCACTGCTCACTGAGCCTCTGTGCCAGCTTTTAAATGCATATGGAGAGAGAGCTTTTTGATGATTGATATGGATTTAGCTTAAAAATCACCACTGGTCATTTTTCCACTGATTTTCTTATTTCCAGCCAGGTGAAGAAAGGTTACAGGTCACGATGTGCAATTTCTCTAGACCGAACGCTGAGGTTACTTTGACATAGATTAACGGGGAATTTAAAACCAGCCCCCGTTGGCAGCAAAACCGAAATGGACCCAGCTGCTTGTGTCACCTTTTAGCAGTTTGTTGTATTTTAACGGGTCAGATTCGCGTTGCATTTCACACAACAAAAGGAGAGAAACAAGAGCCCTCTACACATCTGAGCACTTGTGCCCTAAATGAAAGCACCGTACGTGGGTCTGTGCTGCTCAAGCAACAATGGAGACTGTATCTGGTGGGACCGTTCCACGCTGTCTGTACTGCTTGGTTTAACCCACTTGCCTTCTGTTACCTCATTACGTACCTGTTGTACTGCAATACAGATTAAACAGCAGCATGAATGAAGTCCCTGTAAAGTGGTCTGTGCTGGCCGATCACAGCCACTACTGCACCCGTAGTCCGTATCATATCAACACAGAAAGCCCAAAAGCAATGCGGTTCAGCATGGCGCAGGCAAATCAATTCTCTATTACATCCTATATGCTCAGATTAGATACATTAACATAATGGGTTGCCTCTCCCATGTGCATTTTATGAAATCATTTTCCACTTCATTTTTTTGCCCCTTAAAACTGCTGCAGTAGTTAAGAAAATGACAACATTCTGGTTACAGGTCAAGACGGTTTACTGTAACATCAAAATATAAGAGCAATATGACTATAAATGCTTGGATGTTCACCTGCCAACTTAAACAATACTGAGGCTGGGAAAGAAGCTAAAAAGCAAAGGCCAAGGCTCTGAACAGCTTACAGTAAACACATAAATCACCAAAGGATAAAACCAACAGAGTCATTCTTGGCACACTCAGCACCTCAGTGGAAACAACAGAACTGCACAAAGCATATTACAAGGAGGAAGAAAGACCCACAACTAAGCCTGGGAAAGCAGAAGGTTCAAAGCTCAGGGGTCAAGCTGCGAGCAACTTACTCAGCCTTATTGGTAATTAATACATATCAGTGGAAGTACAAATAAACAGGCAATTTCTGTCACATGACTGCTCTAGTGAGGAAATGGGTGCGTCCGCAACTTCAAAACAAAGCTCAATGCTTACTGACATCGAATCCAGTTCATATTAATTCCTAGTTCCAATTATAATACATAGGGCTGGTTATTTAAACAAATGCCCCAATTCGATTCAATTCCGATTCACAAGTTAATGATTCGACTCAATCCAATTCGGTATCAGGCATCCTTGTACGATGCCTCCCGGACGCTCCCTGGGGGGATGTGTTGGGCATGTCCAATCAGGAGGTGACCCTGCATAAGCGGCAGAAAAAGGGTGGATGAACTAAAATGCCAAAGGCTTGTATACTGTTTTTTTTTTTCCTTTTAACCCGAGGAACACATGGGTATAGTTCCTTAAAAACAAATCCAACCTGTCTCTTTCAAAGCACAAAATAACTTGACTGAAAAGAATGACTGAAAATAAAAATGGGCAATTCTAACACACATGCCATGATTTAGAAGGAATTTAAGTTGCAAAAACATAAATAATCATTATTTGAAGAACATACGGATATCGTTTAGGGCTCGGAATTGGCTCTGATCTCATAATTCAATTCGATTTTGATTCACAAATGCCCAATTGGATTCCATTGACTATTCGATTTACGTTTAAGACACATTCAAAAATGTTTTTAAAACCAATGTGGTTTGATTGCACAACAAATAGGCACAGCACTGCAGCAATTACATTGCTCTGCAATATTAACAAGTTAGCATTATACGACAAAAATGAGATAACGAAAACCAATATACAATAAGCATGAGATGCATCTTGAATTTACCTGTGAATAAACCAAAATATTTCATCGACACTTTCCCCTCTGCAGTTCTTGTATCCAGGCAGAAATAAAATTATACCCGCATACTTTGTCACTTTCATTAGTTTCAGTGTTATGTTTGAAAGACGAAATTTGAAAGAGAGAGAAAAAAAAAAACATAATTAAAAACATTTTTGTAACTAAAGGGCAGAGTGGTGGCTCCTTACATCATTTGCTTTTATTTCATTTTATTAATTGTGCTTTTACATAATTTTATTTTGCGTCACCGTAAGTACTGTACACATCCAAACATCTGACACCAGAAAGGTTAAGGGTCCCTTAACTGAGAGCTAGCTGAAAGGAAGCTATTGTAATGTTAATATGGTACCATTCGTTAGATTGTTTGGTAACATATTTTAATAGCGCCAGTTATTTTCTGTGGGTTTTGTTAGGTCATGGCTTATGTGATGATATCTAAAGTGAAGTTATCATGCTCGTGACACAGTAAGCACAGAGATTAACATAAACAAACAATACATCCTTACTGTAAATAACTCCTTGTACTTACTGTATCGTTTAGCACATATTGTTCAGTACATACTGTATTTATACAGAATCCTTGTGCTGACATGCACTCCTGCACTTATTCTACATTTATCACCAACACACCCACATTGTAAATAGCAGCCGGACAGTATTGACCAGTCTGGTCTTGTCTAACCTGCGTATGTATCTGCTGTATGTACGAGAACCAATGGCAACCAGAGACATATTCTCTGCATGTGCGAACATATCTAGTCAAATAAACCTGTTTTTGATTCTGAAGTCTAATGTTAATCATCAGTTTATATTTTGATTAGCATGCACACTTTGTAAACGGCACGTAATCCGTGTCATAACTAAAGTTTACACTTGAGATTGTTGGCTCTTTCTACACAGACTGCTCGCAAGAAGACATCCTCAGACAATGACATGAGTAGATTGTGGTGCAAAAGGGAAGTACACAAAAATAAAGGAGTTCAGAAAGACATTTACTTGCACATTCCAAAATAAGGTGAATAGGTGAGAGAGAAAGTAGCTCCACCTATATGAAAAGAGTACAATGCAAGAAAAATTCAGGCGAAATGTTTTCAGTCACAGGGAAAAGGCAGAAATTGGGATTTTGTGAATTGACATTGAACTGTCAAAACCAGGATATACACACATAATGTAATGTAATATAATATATTACACATACACACTTTCCCTACGCAGCCATGTGCTTAAACACGTACAAAGCCACCCACAAAAACCACAGTTATCACACCTTTAGCTCACATGGTTGCCCATAGACCGGCCTTTAGGTTTAGCAGTAGGTAATTTCCGAACCAATGACTGGCTTATGGTCTGAGCAGTGGAGTATGTTTGAATTAAAGATGGTGGCTTGGGTCACATATAGCCAAAATACTTAACAGCAGTAATCGATATGTAACATCTGATACCTTCCAGACACTCAGGTACACGGTATTTCAACTGCATTTTAAAAAGCAGTTCTATTCTGGTATTTTGAAATTCCCCAAGATAGTTTCACCAAAAGTAAATACCACAATATGCTGTGGTGCCATTATACCGCCCAAGCCTAAAGAGTAGTTCTACTAGTAAATGTGTTTTCAGCTCATAAACGTGAAAATTTCTAGCTCAAACATGCAAGCAGAGTTCATGTGCATTAACCCGCACATAGTTAATTAAAATTGTGCGTGTGGGAATCGATAAGTGGAACCATAATTCAAATATCCTATCGAATTTCTGGTTCTTAATTTAGAACCATATCTAATTTGGAACCTGTTCTCAAAACCCAACCCTACACACTAGAGGTGTAACAATGCTGTTCGGTATGTCTCGCGATTTTGGAGCCATGGTAATGGTAAGGTCTCTATATCCTTGTATTTAAGGTGAAAAACATCACCCTTTAATTAAACAATGAAGTCCTCCTTTCTCAAAATAACCATGGGTGAGTTTCCCGAAGCGTTCTTAACGCTGCGTCGTTCTTAAGTTCTGTGTTAAAAGATAGAACTAATGAACGACGTAGCGTCAAGAAGGCTTCGGGAAACTCACCCCATATCTGTAGCTTGGCAGCAACATGTTTACTTACCCAGTTGGGGGGTGACACGGTACCCGGTATTTTATCACACTGGTCGGTACAATACTGCAGTATTATGATATGCATGTCATCTTATACGTACCGGCGTGAATACAAGACAGTGTTTTTCCTAAAAAATGTGTTTAAAAAAACTGGGGTCATATTTTCAAAGGCAACAATTTAAATGTCATTATATAACAGCAGCATACCAAACAGCTGGATAATATAACCGCGATAAATACCAAGCCATGGGCAAATGATATCATTACACCTCTAAACACCAATCCTCGCTCCCTCCTGGTGTTTCACATCATATACAATGACAGCTTAAAATAAATAAATTAAAATGCCAAGTTGCACTGTTGCACCTAGTTATATTACTTAGTTGCACTGTCTCCAAAAATGGTTGCAAAATGCGAATTAATGGTCGCAGTGGGAACCCTGGATAGGGGGGTACTATCATCATACGGATTCAACCTATATGCAGAACAAACGAGTAAAACTGGGTAAGAGGAAGACAACTGTGGACTTGAGATTGATAGAAGAAACATTAACCTTTGATAAGGTGATGGAAGCACACTGCTGAAAATGGCAAAGTCCTTGGAACTACAATGAACAAAAGATCCAACAGTCCAATAATAAACTGCAGACTGGCATTACAGCGAAGAACCTGGGGAATAAAAAAAATCATATCTCTAAGCACCAAGACCGCATTTGTATAGAATACAGCATGTTCTACGGCTCTTCATGGATGTGAAGGTTGGACAATGAAGAAGCAGGACAGGAGGAGTATTCATACCTTTGAATTTTGGTGCTGACAAAGACTTAAGATGAACATGCACCACAAAGGAAAACTGGTGAATTCTTGTTCAAATCAAGGCTGAATTTTCTCTCAAAGCATAAATGACCAGACTTATTTTGGGCAAATTATTAAAAGATCCAGTGCACGCCAGAAGACCAGTGCATTCTGCTTTGAAAAATTGAAGATAAATGAACAGGATTACAAAACAAGATGGTCTAAATCAACACTAAAATGAACATGATTGAATGAAACTGATTCAATTCAACTGTAGAAAATGTTAACTTATCTATCTAAATTATCTTATCCATCAACCCTTATCCATGTTAAGGTTGCGATGAGCCTTGAGTCTACTTGCATTACATGCAGCCCATGTTTGTGAAATAGCAGACAGATTATCCATGGTTGTAAGACATTCCAGAAAGGGAATTTAAGCAATTCCAAAGCAGTTTTAAAAGTTCACTGTGGCAGTGACAGTAGTTACAGAGTACTAAAATGGCATTTGCATGGAGACATGTGAAGACAATGCCAACATTAGTTGGCATTTTTCCCTTGTGGACGTTTCTGCTGGGCAAAGCACAATAGACCTGGGCTTATGAAACACTGAGCTGCACTGGTCTCTACAAGCAATTAGTAATCATCAATTAAAGAGAGAAGAGTAAATAAATCACAAAATGATCACAGGCATTTGTCAATCGCTTCTAATTACTCTGTAATTAAGTTCTCAAAAATTTTGAGTGCACTCTTGTTGGCCACATTGATTTTTATCAGAAAGGTGCACCCAAATGTTCCTATTTAACCATTATAAGGCATTTACTATGGCAATTCTGACATGCTTTTGGTACTGAATAAAAGTAAATGTCAAAACCACAGCACTGGGTATTGTGTCTGGCTATTGCCGCTGAGCTGAATACAGATATTTGATGCATAAAATGTCAGAGCTAATTAAGGAAAAAGGCATCATTACACCCACACCTTGGAGACACACACATACCTGCCAGGCTAGCATCCCCTGCCCCGAGACTTCCGTTCTCCTGCTGTGGGCTCAGGGTCTTCAGGATGACCTGTGTGGCCCCCAGGCGGGGCAAAGTCACGTGTGTCAGGTGAGGGAGGTTGTTCTTCTTTGCGAAGGACTGGCTGGATTCCCGCCGTTTGCGCAGAAAGCCGCCTTCTGGAAAAAGCACAATCCACTTCCTGTCTCGGCTGTAGTAGAATTTGTCCAAGTGATCCTTCAGGTAAAAGAGCTGCTTGTCTCGATGTGCTTTACCCTGCAGGGGTGACACCGGGTTCAGCAGAACTCAAACAGCGACCGTGCGGGAGGACAGACCGCAGAAGAGCCTAGAGAGACCTCAGAGCGTTCAAGGGCACGTTAGGAAGGCTTAGATGTAGCAGGCAACATTTCAGCCTGGAGCAAACTACACCACTCTGTGGGGTAAACTGACTGGAGGATGCTCACCTGTGCCCCCCGCAGCCAGAAACAGACACTGCATATGAATACAAGTCTGCAAATTCACACCATTTAGTATGTATATGCAGAGATGTATAGTAACGAAGTAGAACTACTTCACTACTGTACTTAAGTACTAAAAGGCCGTATCTGTACTCTACTGGAGTATTGTTTTTTTCTCCTACTTCCACTTTTACTCCAGTACATATTTTCGATGAGTTTAATACTTTTACTCCGATAGATTTTTTATGTGCTGCATCGTTACTCGTTACAATTATAAAAATGTTACGAATCATTCCAAACCCACATTATCACTGCCAGAACAGTAGATGGCTCTGTCACAGGTTTGAATAAGCTGGCTCATCATTGAGCGAATCAGACGATCAAAGAAGACAGCGCTGCCTGCCTGCATTGAGAGCACTTTAGTTTGTTTTCGACATGGACAACCCAGAAATTCCACCTTCAAACTCCTTCACTTTCAACTGATCGTGGCGATGAGAAAGAAGACCAGCCGTGGCCCTATTTAGAGTCCATGTTTGCATTTGTCGGAGTGAAAGACAATTCATATAGAATGAAGTGCTTACTCTGCCTCCCGAAAGATTGCGAAATAATGGCCTTCAGAAATTCACCGTCGAATTTGAAGAAACATATCAAGGTAAGTTAAAAATAATGTAATACACAAAACACAGCAGTTTGAGCTATCCCTAAGCGCTAGATAAGTTAACTAACATTAGGTACGCGCGGTTCATAACATGCTGCGATGTTCACTTAACTAGCTGGCTATCATAAAGGCTGTCACGCTGAATGGTGTTTTTGATATATATATATATGATGTCTTTTGACTGCTTTCTTTAATAACTGCATAACACAATACTTGTACTTTTACTTTCAGTATTTGAGTAGTAAATTTTAAAATAAACTACTTGCAATACTTAAGTACAAAAAATGTTGAATACTTTAGTACTTCCACTTAAGTATGGTGCTTAAAGAGCACTTCGACTTCTACTCAAGTCACATTTTTGATAGAGCACTTGTACTTTTACTCAAGTCTGGGTCTTTAGTACTTTATACATCTCTGTGTATATGAGGAAAAACAAAGGAGACACCAGTTAGAACTCAAGCGCAAGATGCAGTTCTTACCTGTCTAATAAAGAAATCCCCATGGATTAATGACACAAGCCCAAAGTTTGTGTATTTGAATACATGGTCCATCAGCCACATCATTTTTCGAACCACCTGTAAAATAAAAAAATAAAAAAATCAGGAGACATTTCAGCTTCCAGGTACAGGACCAAAGTAGCTCTGAAACCTCTTAAAGATCCAGAAAATACTGGCTAAACCTGAACATAAGCAGGCCTTTTCATCATGTGAACCCACAATATAAAAGCACAATACCTTCACACAAGAACTGCTTGCAGAAGGTTTGTATAGACATTTAACATTACATAACCACACAAAACATGACTAGATTCACACTAATATTCTAAACCTGCTCAGCAGTTCCATTTCACCTCCATCTTGTGCAGTGACCCTTTAAGATAGTGAGCTAAAGATCCAGTTGTTAGAGAAGATCATGTCACACAACAAACAGCTTCCGGTTACATCTGGCTTCTTGGAAGCCACCCGATTTGCTGACCTACAATGGTATCCCTGCAAGCCTAGCACCGTGATTGATACAATTAGGATTTAGCATCTTACTCACAAATACTACAGCAGCATGCTCTCACAGAGCTTTTAAGAACAGCCTTTAAGTCTAGGCTGCCACAACTTTGTGTGATGGCCTCTCTCAGTATCTTTGTATTGCCCTCACTGCGTGTGACTGAATGTGCCGGAAAATAGACACGGACCCTGTCACATGAAAACCTACACTGGAAAAGCAGTTCTCGTAAATGGATGAATGGATAAACAAATTTACATGCACAATATACGTCTTTATTACAAGCCCAAAAATAAGCAGTTAACTTGAAAGGACACCGTTAGAAAGTGAAATAAAAGCTATTGTCCTGATGATTGATTACTCATGAGATATGGTATATCTTTTCCCACAAGGTGTATTTATCCTTTAATAAGTAATACCTTAATTAGAGCTCCATGCCATGATATAATTGTGTTAAGTGCACTTATTGATTGCTCTTCAAAATATAGCCAAAGATACTAGAACCATGCACCACAAGGATGGTGTGATATCGCTACGGCACAGAGCAAGACCGATGCATACAACGGTTATGTTTTCTGAAGCATTAAACAGCTTCTAAACTTGTGACTAACATTTGAGGAAGGCCTTGCAAGGTGAGCGCTGGTTAACTTTCAGAACTCCACATCAGACAGCATATACACACAGTAAGGTACACGTATCATTAACTGGTTACTGTAAGTACTAGACCGCACATCACACAAAAGGCACGCAGGCCTAACTCCTCCTTACCGTGCCCTTGTCCTGCAGGCACATCATGAGAGTGCAGACGTCACCTGTGGCCTGATGGTTCACAATGACCATGGCTTCCTCCTCAGAGATGGGCCTCACATCATCCCCCCATTCCGTCACTAGGAAACAAAGAGCAGTGCAGTCGAGTAGGGCACTCCACCACACAACACGTACACCATCTTCATTGCAAAGGCAAAAATAGACTTTTAAATAAAACCGGTCAGGTTATGTACTGTGAATGAACCATTCCTTATTCAACCCCACGGTACCCCACCTGCCAAATCGCCGGGCCCATTCAGTGTCTTCAGCTAATCTACAGTAACCAGAAAAGTACAAATCTATTAAGTATATTACTTTCTGCAACATCATTAGTAAATATTATTCTCCAACATGACACTTCATGGAAGACAGGACCGGTTTTACCACTGCTGTCTGCCCAATGTGTCTGTAACTGCATTCTGATTTACTGACACACACACACACACACACACGTCAAAAAACATTATCCTGGTTTCTGGTTTATATAGTGGCAATTTCCCTCTGGGGAAGAGCAATGAACTTCAGGCTCTTTGCTTGAGAGAAAGAGACAAAAGCAACTATCAACTTCTACAGAACTTCATTCTACAGAAAACTGCCAAGTGCCATATAAACTGACTTTTCAACTGAGAGTTTAACAATGAGTACGCAGCTGTAACCAGGAAGCCCTCTGGGCACTATGACACCATCACCTGTAGTGGACCATTCAACTGCTCTTTTGCATGCGTTGGGCCCGGAGACTGGCAGAGCACCATGGTACAAGTTTACATCCCAAACACAGAGTACAAACACAGAGACTACAGTAACAGGGAGGGGAAAAAAAAAACATATATACCAAAGGATGTATGCAAATGTAGCCAAAAAAAGATACAGTGTTGCCGGCAGTACAACGTTTGACTAAGCTTTTCATTAATCTCACTTTTCATTACCAGCACTACTGGTACAATATGTGGAGCCCCACTCTGGACTGCTAAACCAAACCCCTGCCTGCCCTGCTGGGGGGGGGGGGGGAATTGAAGCAGGCAATGAATTATAAAACCCAGAAGGGTTTCTGCCCATTTCCTGGCCCACTGAGCTGCCAAGGTGTAGAAAAATTATTAGCTATCACACAATGGCATACAAAAGGATACCTAAGAATAATGGTGGGCAATATGATCATTTGTTGTGTCCTGTTGCAACTGTATCCACAATTAGCGCTTCAGAGTTATCATGAAAATCTCAATACAGCAGCACATTTACTTTTATTTAGCAGACTTTTGTCTAAGGGGATGTACAAGTGAGGCAAATTGCACATTACAATCATACCTGCTGTCGAGGAGTCAACTAGGTCTAAGTGTGGCTAGGCTGAGTTTCCAATGAATGCCCAGTTACAAGGGCAGTCCTTAACACTATTATAGAGACAGAACAAACCAGCAAGTGCCTATCATAAGATGCCAGCATGTTCAGAGACTGCAACAAAACAGACTAATGTGTTTCAGTCTGTACAACAGCTCAGCACCATCTGAATCCATCTCACTTTATCAATTATCTGTCCAGTAGATCTCAATTTAATGACTAGATCTTGAACTAGAAACTTTATTGATCTTTTCTGATCAGTCAGCTAATTTGTTATAAAAAATAAATTAAATCCTTGTACAGTGGTCCCTCGTTAATCGCGGGGGTTACGTTCTAAAAATAACCCGCAATAGGCGAAATCCGCGAGGTCGAAGCACGAAGCGGCGAGGGACGACTGTATACCACTGGACTGCTACAAATATTGTACTCATGTGGTAAAGAACACACAGTCTACGGACGGGTCGGCTACACTGTCAAACATTGTGCGCAATAGCTCGTGAGGAAGAATTGGTTCCAAAAAAACTTTCCAAAGATACAGCTCGTGCAATAGGTGTCAAAACCAATTTTATATATGTAACATTTGCTCGTATTTTTTGTAAACAGAATTTAGAAATGTATAGTTAAATGTTCATAACAAAAAAAAATATCATGACGACATTTTGGCGCTATTGGACACCCCAATCGAGGAAAGCAAAAACCTGAGTACTTTTGTTCTGCAATGCTTTTAACAGTGATACTAACAGATGGTCTTAACAGCAATTATGGGTAGTGAATGGAGAAACAAAATTCATACACTTAAAGGGTGTACATACATTAAATAAGAAGCTTTAAGAACATAGGAACCTCAGACACTTGGCCACCATAAATTTGTTACATAATTCTTGCTTCTTTAACAGCTCGACTGGCCTCTGTTCAAAATGTTACGTCATTCCTCACTAACTCACCTATAAATTCAAAGAAATATGAAAGGGTTTGAGTGACATCTTCCATCAAAACGATGACTTAGTACAGTGGTTCCCAAACTTTCTCTGCAGGGCCCTCCTTTTCTAGACAGAAACATTGAGCCCCCCCCCCCCATTCAAACCACACAGGTTCAGATTCAAACTTTATTTGAAATGCAACTCCCTTTTCTAATTGAGTGAAACAAATGCAATTACAAAATATTTTTCATGATACGGTTAGACTTTTTTATCCGGCGCTGTAAAATGTACCATGTGACATGGTGACGCGTGACAACAAAAACCTTGCAAGAGCAAGACGACTTGAGACAGATGGTACAGCACCTCTCAGCCGGCTGAACAAACTGGAACTGCCTCCGTGACGACACAACTTTGCCCTTATTGGCTGAAGAACATGACGTTTGTATCCCAGGAAGTTCCGATGCGTAATCTGTTATTTCTCCCGAATATCACGTAAAGCAGTGAGAACTGGTTTTCAGTTAATTTACCTGGTAAAATAAAGTTTAAATAAATTACATAAATGCTCTAATAGTACACGTAAGGTAGTGGTTTATTTATTGTTAGTTACTGTAATGTTGCGCTGCTTTATTTGTTTAATCGTCCAGTCTGTGAAGAGATTATTTTAGGGTGGCACATGCCCCTGAGGCCATCCCATTGGTGCGCCCCTCCGCAATACCTCTGCGCCCCCCAGTTTGGGAACCACCGACTTAATAGCACAACTGAGGCATGTCATCAATGGAACTACTTCATCTGTATACCTTAGCCACTTCATTTTCCAGTTGAAATTAGTTTATTGGTCTGCCTTTTACCCATTGAAAATGAATGTGTATTCACAAAGAATAGCCTGCTAAATAAATATATAGTGGAAACAAAAATGAAGAAAAAAAACAACCCAGGAAAAACTATAGAAGATCAAACCACACAGCTGAGTCAAAGATTAAAAGCATGTTTCCACTAGAATTTTCCCATAGAATCAAAGAGTTAATGTAAAAGATCACCATTCAATAGCCGAGTTTCCATAACTTGGAAATTTTAAGACCTTGCAACGTTTGAAAAACTTCACATTTACCTTTACACAACCAATGTAAACAAAGAGCTAAATATTCAGGCAAGAGCTTATTTATAGTCATTGGAAAGCACTTAATGGGTGAGAAGTAAGGAAATTAATGGGGGACGGAACCTGGACACCCTCTTACTGTGAGCGATACAGCTCTTTAGGGGATAAATAAATGTGTAATAGTTCAGGTATCAGTAAAGAGGCAGGATGGCATCCTTTCATACAGTCGATGAGCAAACTCAGCAGACAGGCCTGTAATTCACACTGGAGTCCCAGATCAGCCTCCAGCACAGCGCTGTAAATGGGGATAAAGCCCAAGAAGGAGCGTTTCTTCCTCCTCAGCTAAAAGCCGTGCTGCTGACTCCGCACCACCACGTGCACATCTTGGCCTTCCCAGCTTTGGCAGATCGGTGAGTCGCTGATAGCCAAAGCCAGCTGTGGGCTGCAGCAGCAGCTGCCAGTCGCTGACAGCGAAGGGGGTGACGACACATCCCCTCCCCTGCCCCGTTCCTTAAGGATCTCGACGGGACACAAGGACCTATACCAGTGTCCCTCCACAGGGTTATAATAGTGTGCAGAAAAACCTAAAATCACTTGTCAGCAGCACCACTAAGGCTGTGTGGTGCACTGCCAAATAAACACCTTCATATAGAGTCAAGCATTTCAAATCCCAGACACCCAAAGACAAGGCATACAAAGGAAACACTGATTGTGGTTACACAAAGCCCCCACGAAATGGGCCTCACCCAATCCCAGTTGTACTATTACACACTTTGGATGAGCACACAGCTCACACTGGTCAGAAGTTCAGAAAGGGTTTGCTTTTATCTTCATGCACTAATAAAAACCTGTAGAATTGCCTGAACATGCAGCTGTGCCAGCAGAAATTCCGCGTCGCAGCAGAGAGTCGGTCTGTCATCTGCCGTGGTTTTTATAAACTAACTGGCCAGTCAGAACACATGCCCTGCATTCCAAAGGAGCTCTTTCACTAACAGAGGCTAGATACCAATCTAAAGAAAACAACCGTTATAAGCCCTGGGGCACAGAAATACCACTAGAAATACTCCATTTTCAGAGGATTTAATTGATTTCTTATTCAGGAATTAACAGTTCAAAGGATCAAAACAGAAATTGTACCAACAATGCAGTAGGCAGTAATTTCTAGCATGTTTCTGAAAGACTCTCTGAAATAGCCGTAGGACAACTGACAAAATGTAGTAATGTAGCGTTTGTCCAATAAGGTTAGTAGTATCCTTATTGGACAAAGCAAAATCATTTTCTTGTTAATGTCTGTATAACTGTACAAGCAGGCAGCTAATGGTGCCACTGAACTGCTGTAGGGGGGCTGTGGAGAGGATCCCAGCCTACAGCATGTTTTGTCCAACAGGTGCCATTCTTACAGAACGTTCGTGGGACAGGCAGCGGCCATCAATACAGGAGCATAGGGCTCAAAGGACACCAAAAAACAAGTTTACCTAGCTAATGATCTTCAATATGATATGACTGATAACTGACTGAATAATATATTTTAAAGGTGCACATACCCATCACAAGCTTAGTTATGCAAAACGACTGTTCTGTGGTTAGGATTGGCCACCTAGTGCAACCATGTAAACCCACCCATCCTGGAATTTGCTGCCCTGTTGAGATATAAGGGCGAAGCATAATCAAAAGCCAGCAGCTGTGCCATATCCCTGTGTGTCATGCAAATGTACCCATACTGCTCATAACA